CAAGTTCAGTCTCATGAAATATATTATTATTGGCTTATTATTTTCTCTAGCGAGTGTGGTTCTGGCAGCATTGTTAGTTTATGTTATTCCATTATTTAGTTATATTTGACTCATTATTAACTATGTTTTTTGTTCTTAGTTCAGAAGTATGGATGCCCCCGTCTTATAGAAATATCACCTGCTATAATGTGTTATTGGCTTATTGGTGGTGATGTCTATAATGTATCATTGGTGGTTATGTGTTAACTGACCCTCCTATGTCAGCCCTTCTATTTTGTGCAATTTTGCAAGTAATTTCATTTACCTTTTTTACTTTGTAATTTGTGAAAAATCATCTCTAGCGTCTTCTTCTATAGCCGTCAATCATGATTTTGATGGCTTTTCCAGGTGTGGGTAAGAGTTACCATTTTTTGCGGTTTTTTTTATTGTTCTATCACCACCAGTTTCATTACCTGCCTCATGTATATACTTCTTTATTATCATGCAAGATTGATTTCAAGATAAGAATTGTTGAGCTTGATGGAAATAGGATCAAGCTTCAAATATGGGAGATACTACAGGCCAAGAATGAATCAGAACTATCCTAAATGGTGGTATGATTTACAAAGATGATGGAAATGTGTTTCTTCCTTTTCTTTATAGAGATCTAAGATATTTAATCTGCAACAAGTTTCTTCCATGAACGAGTAATGTTGTATATCTGTAGAATTTATTGGTTTCCAGTTATGGTATGTAAGAAGTGTCAAAAGTGGTATTTTTACTCTTCTCGATCAATTTATCGTTGCCTAGGACACATAGGTGATGTCTATGATGGAAAGTGAATTGAATATTATTGAAGGGACAATTGGAATGTTGGATCAATGATAAAGCCATTTTGTTTTCTTCCATGGTCGTCCTTTGTTCACTTTTCATTCTCTTTTTTGATTCATTCTTTCAGTTTGACCAATTTTTGTTAGCGCCCATAATTCTAAAAGTTTAGTTTTAAAGGGAAATTTGCAAAAAAAAAAAAAAAAAAAAAAAAAAAAAAAAAAAAAAAAAAAAGTAAGGTTGAACTCTAATACACCTTTGTGGTACTGTTTCTTGGGGTTGGGGTTGATTGTTAAGTGGATATTAATATTTCGGTTTTTAACACATCTTCTTGAATTTTGTGTCGAAAAAAAAATAAAAAAAAACTATTAATACTTTTGTTAATTGGTAAATATCTAATTTCTAATGGATTGATGTTAAGTTATTTGAAGGTAGATTTATAAATGCCATAAAATACAAGGCCGCATTTTCACATTAACCATCTATTAGCCATCTATTTCACATGTTACAACAGTTGTCACATCTGTAATATAATGCAACGTTAGAACACATATTATCAGTATTAATAAAAGGTGTGTATGTGTATTTTTAAATTTCCCTAA